TGTTACAACTGTCAAGAGTTCGGACATTCACAAAACACCTGTTTCAACAAAGTAAGATGTGTAAAATGTGGAGACAATCATAGAGGGGGGGGGATAAAACACTTGAACTCCAAAACCAGAACAAAAACCTAAATGCATTTTTTGCTCACAATCCTATGTTGGTTCTTATCGTGGTTCTAATGTATATCAAAGAAAATTCAACAATATCGAAAATAAAACTGAAACTCCAAAATCCCAGCAATTACCACCTACTACAGAAGACATTCCTATTTTTTTAAAGCAGCAAGACCACATTAATAGCACAGAAAATTGACCATTGTATAGTGACAAAAGTAAATCAAGAAATATCGGAAAGGAACACTTCAGCCAAGTTCTAAAAATATTCAAAGACCCAAATATTTTCCAACTCCTCCAGCACATTGCAAGTATACCTCAGAAATTCAAAGAATCAAAAAGCATTCAGCAAAAACTTAACTATGCATTTAAAGTAACAGAAATAGTAATGAAATTTGCAGAAACAGAATAACTCAGGACAGCTCAGTGGTATTACATCACACTCTACGGATCTTCACATTGACGATTCACGTCTCACTCAAAATTAATTTTTTAACTCATGCTGCATCCCTTAATATCAGACTTTCTACAATTACGTTCGTCACTATTACTCATTTTTCAGCACATCTTTTAGAAAAAATGCATTTTACCTCCTCACAGTTAATTTATTTTGCTTTCACTTTAGAATTACCTTTTACCTGCGTAACTCTCTACCATGACGATAGATGGCGACACGTACGCAGACTTTAGCTTTTCAGGATTTCTCAAATTTATGCGCCCTTTATAGGGGCCATTACAATAACTGATGCCGACACGATCGCCTACCCTCTTCTTCATTTGGAAGATACTATGCTCCTGTATGGATTCATTTATGCTCACTAAGACTGCCCCAGCAGGGAAATTAACAGTGGAGTAAAGGTCTCAGCGCCGATGACTCGTCATGACCGTAATTCAATTCAATTTTGCGTCAGAGACTGCTTTTCTCCTCTGCTGCTGTCAGACCTTTGCTGCCGCTCTTCCCATCTCTCTGTTAATAATCCATTACTTATTTTGTTAGTATAATTTAACAATTTGTCTATGGCAACGGTACTAGATATTGAGAATGATGTAACAACGCGAGGGGCGTCATTGTTTCTTTCGTGATAATAAAGTTTATATTTGTTGAAACTGATTCTATTGTGTGAATAATCACGGAAGTTATAGTGTTTTAATGATAGAGACTATTTTTAAATTAATTATTGGCGTCCAGTGACAGGACTATTTTCGTATTTTAAGATGTTTCAAGTAATAAAAGGTTTTAAAAAATGAAACAAGTTCTGGAAGAAATCGGTGAGTGTTTACCACCAACCGTTACAATAGCAGGATTAAGAGAAATTATTTTAAACAGTGCAGAATACAAAATGGATCCTGAATTTGTTCAAGGTTTGCTAGCAACTGCTATTTCGGTAAAATCCTAGTATACGGTGATCCTAGTATACGGTGCATGCGATTTTGAAAATTATCGCCAACACCAAAAATTACGAAAAGAACGTCTATGTATATATAGTGATAGTATACTATACTCTATATACTATCACTATATACACAGTATATACTATGTATAATTATATATATTCTTTGAATACCCGTTTACTACTCATCGAATATGTCCCGTTTTTACTGCTCATCATAAAAGTCGCCAAAAGTAGCCAAATCCCGTGTGCACCGGATACTAGGATTAAACCGCTATTTCAGATCGAAAATTGTTAGAGCAAAGACAAATTGAAAAGGATAAGCTGGATTACGATCTTCAAAAAATGAGAATTGAGCAAGAACTTCAAAAAACAAAAATGGATTATGAACTGGAATTGGCATGAATCCAAGCACAAAATCAAAGTTAGTCATTTCCATTTATTTCTGTTTATGATGTAAATAGTTAGAAGCGAAAGTTTACTTTGCCTAGATTGGAATTTAGACAATTTGGGGATGATATTAAAGATTGGCTTCCTTTCTGGAGTCAGTTTGAGCAAATTCATAAAGATAATGATATTTCCCCTGAGGATAAATTCCAGTGTTTAATTCAAGCTACCCTCTCGGGTTCCCGCGCTAGAGAAGTTGTCGAGGATTTTCCGGTACTACTTTGGTAGACGGTTGCACGGACTTTTGGTGATTTACGTTGGCGCGGTTTTTACAGTCGTCAGCCATCTTGAAAAATGCTGTTTTTATGTATTTCAAGCATGGTAAAATATTCGAAACTTAAAAAAAAAAAAAAAAAAAAAAAAAAAAATCGTTAAAAATGACGGATTATTTTTTGTTGAAAACGTTGTTTTTTAAGATGGCTGGCAAATGTAAATAAATGCATTTACTAAGAGATTAAAATGCTAAAATAAAGTTAAATTATTACTTTCATATAATAGAATAAAAACACCGCTATAAAAACATTGCGCCAACATTTAATTGAAATAAAATATTAAAAAATAAATAAAATGCCAACAAAGTCGAAATGCGAGGGAACCCGATCCGCCTAGTCTTAGAAAGACCAAATGATCTTAGAAGAGGCCAATGACAACAAAGTATCGGCCTCTTCTAAGATCATTTGGTGTTTCTAAGACTAGGTGGATCGGGCTCCCTCGCATTTCGACTTTGTTGTCATTTTATTTTTAAAAAAAATGACAACAAAGTATCGGTTACCATAAATAACTTGTCCAGCAATGAGTTTACCATACATCGTATCGCTCGCCCCGTCTACCAAAGTAGCCAGGGCCGGATTAAGGGTGTCGTAGGCCCTAGGCACTCCAGCAGCGTAGGCCCCGAAATAATAAACATTTTTTAACTGAAATTGACCGCTAATATTAAGTAAAAATTTTGTTGTAGATATAAATCCGAAAATGTGATGATGCGGTAAAATAACATTATTTTATTTTGGGATTTTTAATGTTTTTATTTTTCATAGAGCCATTTTCAATAGCCATAATTCCAGAATTGAGTTTATCTGCAACAATGCAACTTTTATATCTACCAAATTCCATGCAGAATTCCAGGGTTTTAGTACATGAAACATGACAAGACTTAGCCGCCGGGAAAACCTCTCGGACGGGCACATGCGTTTGACAAAGTTGGCCACGTTTCCATGCCCACTACCAAACGCTTGCGGCGCGATCGAGAGGTTTTCCCCCCTGCTGCTAAGGTCTTTTGTTTTAGTAGCTCAGTTGTGTAATAAGTTAATATGTAAACACTACGATAGAGCGTGTATGCCTGTGCTTGTATTTAATCACGCTCAACCCCAAGTCAATCTTTAGTTTAAAAAAACTGGAAGTTAAATTTATTATAAGTAAGGTAAGTAAAGGAAAGTTGTTTTTATAACTCTACTTATTTCAACCTAGTTTTTGATTCTGGAATATTGCTTCATTCCATTTAAATAATAGAATTTTCATTTTTATCACTTCTTATTAGTATAATAGTCCGCCGTAGAATGCAGCACAATGCAAGGAACTTTGAGTAGGCCTACTATGGGGTGGTTTGGCCATACTATTGTAAAAAATCTCCATAGTAGTAGTCGTAGAAATAGTACAGTCCAAATCACCTTTGGAATAGCTTAATTTTAATCCATACTCGTAAATCCGGTTTCGTTTTTACAAGTTTAAAATGCATTTACTTAACAAATTTAAAATAACTTTTTAGCTTTCTGATAGCATAATAAAAGCGACGGGCGCAAACTAAAATGTATATTTAAAGGTGACGAGAAGAAGGAGAAAACAAGTTTAAATTTTAGTTTGTGCGTGCCCATCGCTTTTATTATGGTATATCAGAAAGTTAAAAAATTATTTTAAACTTTTAAAACGCAATTTATAAAAGCTTTTTTTTAAATATTTTTTTTTAGCGAAAAATGTCTGATGGATATAAAAGAAAACACCAAAGTGGACATGAAAAACGCAAAAAAGAAAGAAAGAAAGTGAGTGAGTCGCTTAGTAAAATTAAAGGTTCTTTATTGAAATATGTTAACATTTCTAAGGAGACAGAAGATAATGCAGATGCGGTAGATATTTCCTCGATCGAGGTAGACCTAAAGAAGCTGAGGCTTGTTGGGACTCGCAAGAATGTTCAACCAATAAAACTGAGAATGTCACAGAAGACGAGGCTGACGGGGTTTACGAAATTTTAACGACGCTTCCAAGCAGGTGGTGCCTGAATCACTACCAACAACATCAGCCTCAAGTATTTTCAGTTCTGATCCAGCACGGTGGACAACCATAAGCGCAGATCTTATCGATTACTTCTCTCGTAATCACCCTGTGCAAATTGGATATAAATTTTAAGTTATACGCCACTAAATTTGGCGAAATAATGAGATGGTCCATCACAAGATTATTTTTTCAGAAAACTGAACAACAATGATATTATAAAAAGGGACTGGTTGATATTTTTCCGAATCTACTGGCAAGTTTTTTGTTATAAATGTATTTTGTTCAAATCGGACCTACCTGGAAATCCAAACCTGTGTAACCAATTCCTTACAGGCTTAATGACTGGAAAAAACGCACATTCGAGAATTTCAAGTCATGAAGTGTCAAAAGAACATTTTGCATCTATTTCTGCTTTAGTGAAACTACCAACAAACTAGAAAAATTGATGAGACGTTTGATATTGTCAAGGAAAAAGAAAGCACATATTGGACAACGGTTTTAAGAAGAGTAGTGGAAGTAATTAAGTTTTTTTGGCCGAAAGGGGACTAGCGTTTAGAGGCGATAATGAAATACATGGTGATCCTAGTAATGGCAATTTTCTTGGGTGTATCGATCTCTTAGCCAAATTTGATCCGTTTCTAGAAGAACATGTAAGAAGATACGGTAATCCAGGCCGCGGAAAAGTATCATATTTATCCTCCACAACGTATGAAGAACTAATAATTTTACTGGGGTCAAAAGTATTGGAAAAAATAGTTACAGAAATCAAAGAAGCCAAGTATTATGGAATCACTGTGGATTCTACAACCTGACGTTAGCCATACGGATCAACTCTCCATAGTTATTAGATATGTCTCAAAAACTGGAGATATATATGAAAGATTTTTGATGTTTGTTAAAATAGAAAAACATGATGCCAAGTATCTTTTTGACACTCTAATTTCAGTTTTAGAAAATCAGGGAATAGACCCAAAATTTTGCAGATGTCAGTCTTATGACAATGCGGCTAATATGAGCGGAGTGTATTCGGGAGTACAAACTAGATTTAGGGAAATCAACAGCGCAGCCACTTGGGTACCATGTGGAGCTCATAGTCTTAATCTAGTTGGCACAGCGGCGGCAGAAAGCTGCTTAGAAGCTGTAAAATTTTTTGAAATTTTGCAATCGCTCTACAATTTCTTTGCAGTGTCCCCTCAAAGATGGTCTAAACTAAGGTCTTTGGGAAGTAAAATTTCTGTAAAAAAGACTTTCAGAGACCAGATGGTCAGCACGTTATGAGGCTGTAAAACATTATGTGCCCATTATGATGATACGTGGTATTCTTACAAATATTTCAACTAGTGAAGGTATGAAACCTACAACAGTGATTGAGGCACAAACCTTAATCCATCAAATGAATACTTTGGAGATGGTATTACTCACAGTTATTGGGAAGATCTACTAAAACACGTCGATATTGTAAATAAATCTCTTCAAGAACCTGGCATCGAGTTTTAAACGATGGTGCGACTTTACGACAGTTTAATTCAATATTTATCTCACTGCAGAACTGAGGACATGTATAATAGCTATTATCTTAAGACAAAAGCCCTTGCACCAGATTCAGAATTTAAAGAATCCGAAACTAGAGTTCGTAAGAGAAAACGACAGTTCGATGAAGGGCCAGATGAGACTCCCTCTCGCAGTGCCAAAGATTCCTTTAAGATTAATGTTTTTTTTTTATTGTTCTGGATGTGCTTTGCGCTGAAATGACAAAGAGACGCACTGCGTATACCAGCCTTTATGACACATTTAGTTTTCTTACGGATAATACACTGACCGAGGACATTATCAAGGTTAAGGCTCAAGCTCTGGTAAAAATGTATCCGTCTGACTTAGAAGAAAACTTTGTTGATGAGTATTTGATTTTTTCAAATTTGTACCCCAAAACCACCTCTATAACGGATCTCATCAAATTACAAATAAAGGATAAACTTGTGTCAAGTTTCCCAAATGTTAATATTGCATTGCGCATATACCTTTCGATATTGGGTTCGAATGCAGAAGGAGAAAGATCATTCTCCAAGTTGAAGCTTATAAAAAATTTTATGCGTTCAACTATGGGTCAAGAGAGAACTTCGTCACTGGGCCTTCTGTGTATTGAAAGTGATGTCGCTCGCGGCATTAATTTTGAAGATATAATACACGAATTCGCTGTGTCAAAATCCCAAAAAAAGGAGTTTTTTAGGATCTACTTAGTAAACCAAACGTTTTGTATTCGTATTTTTTTTGTGTATTGTATTTACATATATTATTTTTGACCTTCACTATATAATAATATAAAAATGTTTATAAGTTTTTGGGGTATTTTTATTTCAATGTATTTTTTTTTCAAAGCCCTAAGACCTTTGGCCTTCGTAGGCCCTTTGGCCTTCGTAGGCCCTAGACACGTGCCTACTGTGCCTAATTGGTAATCTGGCCCTGTTTAGGGAAGCATCAAGATAATAATAATAAGCCAATAAAAAAGAAGCATTTTAGTGCAGAATGTTTACGTAACAAGATACCAACAGCTGCAGCGCTATTAACAGCTGCTTCTGGTTTCAATGCTATAAAATCGTGCGTTTTTTGTGATGGTAAACATTTGAGTTCTGACTGTTTTTCCGCGCAAAAAACGAGTTTATTGGAGAAGCAAAAAAGAGATCCGCAGAGAACCCGTTGGCGCTGGCGCCGTTGCATTTTTACTCGCCAAGCTCGCGGTTCATCGACGATGAGCCGAGCCGTAAACGTGATATTTTGTAAACGTGATTTTTAGTGCATGTAAATTCAAGTTAGCAGACAAAACAATATATTAATCATATGGTAGTAAAAATTCACAGGTAATAAGCATGTAGATGTAAAACTAACCGGTTAAACGTGATATACGAAAATAAACTTGTATTAAATTCAAGTTAGCACAGAAAACAATATATTAAGCATAAGACAATATATTAGCATTTATAACGGAAATAAAAAATATAAATTAGTATTAATGTACTGAAATTACCCGGTTAAACGTGATAAACGAAAAAAAATTTGTCTTAAATTCCAGTTAACACAGAAAACAATATATTCCTTACACCAGCAGTGGTTTGCTAATTTTGATGACCATGGTGATGCATCAAACTATTCTGTCATCTTAGATAATCATATTTTTTATTTCAATTTAATCATCTATTTATATCACACCTGCCATCCTCTGAAAGGTTAACATTAACAATATATTATCTTGTTAAAATTTTACGCCATAAAAATTGATTTATTCTCATAATTTTAGATGACAATAACCAATAATAAAAATAAAAGCATTACTTAATTATTTAAAATGCACATGCATATTTTTGCGGCCTACGAAAACAAATTATTTTAGGGGTTGGAAACCTCATAGTTCTGCATGTTCACAGCTGTTAATAATTAAGAACACAACGTGAATAACCGTGTTACAAATTAGCATTCACCCCTCCCGCCGTATTTTCTTCCTTTCATCCCGAACCGAGAATCGGCATCTATCTACGAAAATATTTCTATCTATTCGTTGTTAAAAAATTCAGAAAAAATAATAATAAATAAGAGAATAATAATATAAATCTGCAAATGCGAACAACGACAGTGATAATTCAACAAAGTGAACGCAAGAGGAATGGTTGCGAACTTAGAACAAACGAATAAGATAAATCCGCTGGGTTACCAGGTTTGAACTATTATCGCCAAAGTTGGCGATGTTTACATTTACCGGGTTCTCTGCGGAAGTGCTTCCAAAAAAAGCTTTGCTGCTATGCTTGTTTATCACCAGGTCATACAGTTAAAAAATGTCGAGTTTTCTTAAAGTGGTTCTACTTTGGTAAACGGTTGCACGGATTTTGGCGATTTTTTTGGGCGAGCGATACGACTTATGGTAAACCTATTGCTGGATAAGTTATTTATGGTAACCGATACTTTGTTGTCATTTTATTTTAAAAATAATGCGTTTTTATGCATAAATTCCGTGTTTTAAATATTATTTATGGCTTCTAAATATTAAAAATCAATTTAATTTTGCATTCTTATTTGAAATAAAAATGTCATTGTTTATGATATTTTATATAATTTTATGTTGTGGATTGATGTAATCAATGATGCCATACTTTAAAAGCAATTGGTTTTAATATCCATAAATTTAATCTATATTCTAAATATTATTTATGGGTGTTAAATATTAAAATACAATTTAATTTTGCATTTTTTAAAAATGATTTTATTATGTATGATTATTTAAATAATTTTAAATCTATGCGTGATGTAATCAGCTCCCTGATTGGTTACAGAATATTTGTGCATTAACGAGCTGTAATCAGCTCCCTGATTGGCTATGAATATTTGTGCATTACCGCGCCATTTTAAATTTTATTATTCATCTCTTCGAATTCCTTACATTTCATAGCAAACGGATATGTCCCTTTCAAAGACGAATGTTATTATTGGTATCGGAATAAAAAAATTGTCCTTTGAGACCTTATTTTGGCCAACTTGGCTTTCCTAATCAAAGATTTATTTATAAATTGTTACAAGGGTCAGAGGAAATTTATTTTAAATTTTTGGAGGAAACCTTGCTAATTGCTTCTTCAGTAAAGTGCGAAAAATGTGGATCACAGATGAAGATCATTAAAAGAGCCGATTCTGAGGACGGCCCTATATGGTATTGTGGTCACGGTGGAAGAAATAACCGCTGTAAGGGTAAAAAGAATTTTTACACATTCCTTTCTTTTTTACCGGCAATAAACTTTCTATGGCTGTCATTTTAGTTCTAGTGTACGAAATATACATGGGTTCTTCGTACGACAGAATTCAGTGTGAGCTCGGTATTTTTTCAGAAGCTGTAACCGACTGGCGCAGTTAGAAAATAATTATATCCTATAAAACTTATTTTAAAATATTTGAATTTAAGTAATAGTTTAATTCTTTTAAACGTCGGTATGATGTTTTTAATTCGATATTCAATTTAAGTAATATTTTAATCCAATTAAACGTTGGCGCAATGTTTTTATAGCGGTGTTTTTATTCTTTTCTTTGCTATATGAAAGTAATAATTTAACCTTACTTTAGTATTTTATACTCGTAGTAAATGCAGTTATTTACATTTGCCTGCCATCTTAAAAAACAACGTTTTCAACAAAAAAATCAATCCATTATTTTTAACGATATGTATTTTTTTAAAGTTTCGAAGTTACTATGCGTAAAATACGTAAAAACAGCGTTTTTCAAGATGGCTGACGATTGTAAAAACCGCGCCAACAACTTCATCAACGTGAATCGCTAAAATTCCGTGCAACCGGCTACCAAAGTAGCACCCTTAAAGTGCTTGATTTGCCCTAAAAAGCATGTGCCTTTAATGTGTGATGCGCTTGATACACAAATCAAAGCTTACAGCGTGGGGGGGGGAGAAAAAAAACAATAGAAGGCGAAGTTAACTTGTTCAATTTCAAAAGACATATCCCTAGAGTTTTTCTTCAAACTTTGAAAGCGAACCTTCTTTCTGCTGGTACCCAGAAGACTGTAAGATTACTTTTATATTCAGCGTCGCATAAATCATACATTTTAAAGAATGTAGCCGAAGAAATGAAATATTTGCCGGTTCGTATGATACATTCTCTTTTCGGGGGAGTTTCGACAAATCAGTTGAAGCATAATTGCTATAAAATAAAACTGAGAAGTTTGAATGAAGAGTTCACCTGCAATTTCGAAGTCCTAGATCAAGCTACATTTTGTAACAATGTTCGGCCTCTATGTAAAGGCCCTTAGGTTAAAGAGCCAGAAAAAAATGGCATAATTTTAACCGATGGTACGGTTAATTGCGAAACCATTCATATTCTTGTCGGAACCGACATAATGGGAAGGTTGTTAACCGGAAATAGGAAAATTTTGTCTTCGGGTCTCGTTGCTGTAGAAACTAGTTTCGGGTGGACACTAATGGGTAAGGTGCTAATAGGAGAAGCTCCTAATGAAAACTTAGCAATGGCGGTGACATCAATGTTTATATATGAAGCTGAAGTTTCAAGTCTATGGAGATTGAATTAAATAGGGATCAATGATCCTGCAGAAAAAGAATCTAAACATGAGGTTGATCTTCAGACCAAAGCACATTTTTTAGAAACCGTTACAGTAAATAATGATGGTCAGTATGAAATTTGCTTTGATGATAAATCACCTTATTTAGTTTTAGTTTAGCTAAAAAGAGGCTCGAGTACACCACTTCGAAACTTTTAGCGATGAATTTATATCAACAA